CTATTAAATTCCAGGTGCTGTGATAATCACTTGCTTCTCCTTAGTTCTGAAAGAGGACCAGTGACATAAGGAGGATGATGTCTTGACTTGCACATGCATTGGATTTAAGTGAGGCAGAGCTGTGCAGAGTCATCAGCCACCCTCTCTCTTCCAGAGTCATCATACAAGACATAGGTCAGGACAACTGGTGATGGCACTTGGGATGCTTTTCTCTAATGATATAAAGAAAGGCAGAAACCAGTTCCTGCCCTCAAAGATTTCACAGTTTAACAGGAGAAACAATATCCAACAACTATGTATAAACAAGATCGAGACAAGGTAAATAGAAGACGGAAGGCACTAGCTTTAATGGGGTCTAGGAAGGCCTTCTTGTAGAAGGTGAGAGGGAAGTAAGATGTAAGAAGACTGGAAAGGTAGGAAGGGGCCAGGTTAGGAAGGGCTTTAACAACCAGAAGATTTTCTATTTGATCCTGAAGGTAATAGGGAAGAACTGGAGTTTATCAAATAGAGAGGTAATGTGGTCAAATCTGATCTTTAGGAAGATCAATTTGACAACTGAACGGAGGATGAAATGAATAGGAGAGAGACTCAAGGCTGGGAAACCATGAAGCAGCGCAGTGCAGTCTAGACATGAACTGATGAGGCCTGCACCAGGGTGGTGACAGTCTCAGAGAGAAAGAGAATACAATAGATGTTATGAAGGCAGATGTTATCATTAGTAGAAGCACTATGGGAAAGCTCTGGTATCATTTTTTGCCTCTCTGCCATTTTATTTTTAAGCATCTTTTTTTTTGTTAAAGGAAGGATTAGAGTGGTTTGGATTTGTAGGAACTATTGTTAATCTCCCCCACCCCGAAATAAAAATCAAGTCCTCCATTTACCTCTTCTTCTGGTGTTACCATTGATAGTAGAGGTGCACCTGTTTACTTTTAGGTCTTAAGTAATATAATTTCATTAGCTGAGTGGTAAAAGGGCCTATCAGAAACTCAAAACAAATTTCCCAGTAGTCAACATGAAAAAAAATTACATTTTTTTAATCCAGCTGAATTTATTAAGCATTCATTAAATGTATGATTTATACAAGGCACTGTCCTAGGCCCTAAGGATAGAAAATGATCCTTCTCAAAGATCTTATATTCTGTTGGGAGATAAACACAGATGCATACATGCGTACATACATAATAAATATATAAAGACATGTCTGTGTATGTATACACACATACATGTGTATATGTGTGTATACATGTATGTGTATACTTACATATATAGTCAAGTAAATTGAGGAAGGAGAAATCAAAATGGAAAAAAAGAAAAGAGCATTTAGAATGTTTTAATCACCCATAACAAAAGTTTTAAACTCCTAGAACCAAGGGTTCTTGACCTGGGGTCCATTAACTTTTTTTTTTTTAATTTCTTAAATGTATTTAAATATAATTGCTTTCCTCTGCAATTCTCTGTATTTTATTTTATGCATTAAAATATTCTAAGAAGTGGTTTATAGGCTTGGTCAGCCTGCCAGAAGGGGACATGACACACAAAGGTTAAGAACCCCTGTTGTAGAGGGTTAGAGACCATATGACCATTTTGATATGTGGGGACTGTTTCTCTTCTTTCTGTTGCACAAGGCTGAGGCTGATTGACAGAGTTCCATGGATCCAGCTGAAAGTCTTCAAGTTGGGGATGGGGATTGGGAAATTCAGGATCAGATATACCTCGTAATATGCCAGGGTCAATAACTAGGATATGAGTTACTCTTCTGAGTGACCAGAGGACAAAACCTTGAGGAACACATGCATTTAGGAGGCATTATATGGATTAGGAGACTGAAAAGGAGCAGTCAGACAGGTAGACGGTGAACAGAGAGAGAGTGGTGACCCAAAAACTCAGCGTGGAGCCAAGTGGTCAGTAGTGTCAAGTGTGGTAGAGAGGCCGAGGTTAGGGCTAAGAAAAAAACACAAAGTAAATTATAATCGAATTCATTGTTACTTAGGGAATAATTTCATAAGAGTAAGATGGTGATCTGCATATGGAAATAGAGAATAAGAGTGTCAGCACTGTTTAGGGGACACTGATAGTAGTGGTCTGCTCTGCTGGAAAGCTGACTGTAAGTGAAAAAAACTTGCATCATCAGGGCTAGTGTGGCTTGATAACAGTATCCATTAAATAATAAAAAGTCACAAAATATTAGAATTAGGTGGAACCTCAAAATTCTCTAGTTAAAATCCTTCATTTGACAGATGAAGAAACTGAGGTCCCCAGAGGTCAATTGATTTTTCCACAATTATAGCTAATGAGCAATAATGACCATGACTTGAACTAAGGTTTCCTGGTTCCCAATGGAGTTAGTGCATTCTCTATTATATTATCTCTCAAGCTTCTCGTATTAATTTGGTTTCCTACTGGGTACTGAACAAATTATGAATGTTTCATTCAACTTGGTAGCTGTATTTTTCATTATTAATTAATAAATAGTTATCCTGATTATTTAGTTGTATATTTGGTTAATGTGAATCAGGTCACCATACCCTGATCACTCCTGGGTGAACTAATAAAATGAAGCATAAGCATGAAGCACTCGGGACTAGACCATGGAAAGAAGCTCAACCAAGCGCACATAAACACACACACACACACACACACACATCCTCTCCTTCCTCTACTCCCTCATCTTTTACTTTGTACCAACATTCCATCCTTTGCATGTTTTTCTAAACTATTCTGAACAGTCTGTAACACTGAGTAGTTTTAAGTCAGTAGGGGAAATTTAAGAACTTTTACAAGCCTAAAATATTCTTTATGCTACTCTAATTCTGTTATTACTTGAAATTAGACTGCCCACAGATGAGAAGTATCATTATTAAAGACCAGTCAAGGGACTTGAAATATAAATGAGTTGATGGATTAAAGATGGACAAATACACATCTGATTCTCCTTCCTGAAGAACCATTTCTTCTGGATAATGGGTCAAATGATCAGATGAAATAATATGAACCTTCTAGTAACGTATAAATATTTATTGTTTGTGGTGGTTGTGTTGTCTCAGATGCTGGCAGCTTCCAGCTATGGTAGGAATGCTCTGTTCTTAGCAAATATAACCACTTTGTTTAAATTTAATTGCCCAATTATGTACATCAACTCAGAGACCAAAAAAATCTGCTATTCATAGAGTCATTTCTATAGATTAATCAGTCACTCACAAACCCAATTTAGCTGTGTGCTTTAATATTTTTTCCTTCTTCCTCTATGGTCCCTATAATTCCTTCTCTTGACCCCACCATTCCTTCATTCTCTCAGCTTCCCATTAAGATGTCACAGGTACAGGATTTATAATGTGTCACTGCCCCCAAGAGACAATAGTAGAAGTGTGGATGAAAACCTTTTCAAACATCAACCTGGTGTCAGGGAATGGAGATGATTTCCATTTCTGTTCAAGTCAGAGTTACAAAAGAAACCATCACTGACCCTGGAGATGGGACTGAAGCAGCTTGTCTAAATGTTTTGTGTATTGAGTTACCCAATAATGTTCAGTGGTCCTTTCCCAAGAAGCATTTCCTCTGAATGAAGTACTAGGAGTGTTTGATATTTGTCTAGCACGGTGCCTGGCACTAATAAGTGCTTAATAAATATTTGTTGATTGATTCATTGACTGATTGACTGCATGATTGATGCCCAAGATGCTAGGAGTTTTCGACTACAATGGAAATGCTCTAATCTATAGAATAGATGACATTTCTACAGTGCTTTTAAGGTTTATAAAATACTTTCTTTACATACATTATCTCCTAAGAGCCTCACAGTAATCCTACAAAGCAGGTACTACTATTAATATTTTTATTCCCATTTTATAGATGAGGAAACTGAGACTTACGGAGTTTAAGAACTGGCCCATCCATGATCACTCACCTTAGTAAACATTACAGTTTATACTCTCTTTTTGTAAGATAGTTGCTATGAGCATGACCTAATTTTTCCGTTCATTATATAAACTTCTAAATCATGCAGTGAAACTTTTGTGTAGCTATTTTCAAAGATTACAATTTTTTAATGTGTCCAGTGGGAAAATACCTTATGGCTGTATACCAATGTGATTTTTATAGCTTGAAGGCCTGTTGTTGAACATGTGATGTAAAGTGATAGAGCAACATTATAAGGGAACTTCTGAATTTTACTCAGGAGACATTATTGTTTTTATGGTACATTTTCTAAAAATCAGTTAGTTGGAGAGAAACACATTTTTCTGGCTTAGGGAGATAAAAGTTTAAGATTTAGCAGATTATTGTCCCCACTTTATAGACGGGATTAGTTAAAGGAGAAGGGAACTGCTGACCTGATAAGTCAGTAAGATAAAAGGCACTCTCCCATGAAGAATAATGCTACAACTTTTCTAAATGGAGTTATTATTATTATTGTTGTTAGGTACCACCAACACATTAAATTTAGTCAATCAACAAGAATTTATCAAGTGCCTACTATGTGTCACGCATTGTGCTAGGAGCTGAGGGTACAAAGAGAAAAAAGTCCTTGTCCCCAAGAAGTTAACAGTCTATTATTGTACTTTATGGCTAGAAGTTACAATTTGTTTTTGTTTTAAAACAGATGTGGGCAGGATTGAGGACAGAGGTGTTTTCTAATTTCTAACCAGTTTTCTGTCAGTAGACTTACAAGGCAACCTCTCTCAATTTGGAGTTTTGTATGTTTATAATTTAAATCATAGTCCTATTTGATGGTTTAAGCTTAGGAAAAACCTACCTGAGTACCTAGTATTTCTGCATCATCAATGACTGACAGGCAGCATAATCTATTTTGGCTTAGAGAGAAAGTTGCTGAAAGTCAGAGCAGGGGCCTTCCTGCCTATGTGGCTATCATTCTTCACCTAGTCCACAATCTGCTTTCTGATAGCTGTAATAATTAATTTGGTTATTTTCTCCTTTCTTCTACTGTCCCTCCCCCTGCTTCCTTCTCTCTTCCCCCCCTCAACTTTTTCCCTGTCTGTTCACAGGTTATCTTGACGAATCAAATTACAACCCATCTGAGCGGAGACCTCACTATTCAGGCAGACCTGGTGTCTCCAGCTGATGATTTTTCCCTGTGGGGAGGTAAGAGATCTGTCCTATGGAGGCTGAAACTTGACACTGACATGTATCTCCACCTGCCTCTCAGCCTCCTGTTGATAGTTGAGGGACATGGTTAGTAAATTCTGGCCAGTGAACCAAACCAGAGCTTTGTGAATTTGTCCTCTTCATCTTGTCTCTGTATTCAAGCCCTTGTTTTTGGAGACTCCCTTACTGTGTCTGAGAACCCCCTATTCAGTGTCACAAGTGACCCATATTCAAGGCGCACCTACCATGTTGATGTATATTTCATTTGGTCTTTATCGGCAATGCTTTCCCATTGTGCTTAGTGAACTGATATGAGTAGCTTTTTTCTTTTACTTGAATATATTCTTTGACCTTCATAAATTAGCTATTAGATTACCATATAGAAATTAACTATAAATTATAATGTTGGGCCCTTTTTGGAATGTCCTTATATATACATATATATACATACACATATATATGTGTGTATATATATATATATATACACATATATACACACACACACACACATATATACACATATATGCAAACCAGTAGAAACCAAATAATGTAGACATTTATGATAACTCTATAAAAAAGATTCAGAAAATTCTTCTATTTATAAAAACTCTCAGGAAATTATGCTCCTGATAACAATAAGCCTTAGTAGATAGATGAATTAGATCAGTTTTTGGTTTGAGGGTTTTAGGTGCTTCGGTGAACAGTTTTAGATTTAGATATTTAAATTATTTATGTATATATTATATTTAATATATTATATATAATATGTATTATATTATATTTAGATATATTTATATATTTAAATAGCTGTGTGACCCTGGACAAGTGACTTAATCTCTACTTGCCTCAGTTTCCTCATCTGTAAAATGGGAGTGATAAGACCACCTACTGAAAAGCTCTTTACAAACCTTAAAGAATTATATAAATGCTATTGTTGTTATTATCATTATCATTATTATTTTAGATTTGGCTCTCTTTCAGGATAAAGACTGTGGTCTAAAACATACATTTAAGATTATTCACCATCTTTTAGTGCTTCTTGTTTATATGTCCATTGCCAGTTAATCTTTATTTTTTTTTTTTTTAATTTTCCAGTTAATCTTTAGAACTTATTAGGCCTTGAATTGGCTTTTGGCTTCTCCTCTGCTCCCGTTCTTGTCCCCTTAACTTGTCTGTTTTACTGTGTATCTGACTCTTTATGACCTCTTATGGGGTTTTCCTGGCAAAGATACTGGAGTGGTTTGCCATTTTCTTCTCTCATAAATTAAGGCAAACAAAGGGTAAGAGAGTTATCCAGGCTCACACAGTTAGTGAATGTCTGAGGCCAGAGGCCCACGCTTTATCCACTGAGCAATCTAACTGTCCTGCTTTACTATAGTGTCTGTCAAATTGTTAAGTTGTATGTTTGATTCTCAACAATAGGTTCCAGAAATTAATTAATTACTTGATAAGATGCTTATGTTCTTGTTGTCCAGTCATTTTCAGTCATGTCTAACTCTCTGTAACCCTATTTGGGGTTTTCTTGGCAAAGATACTGGAGTGGTTTGCCATTTCCTCCTCCAGTTTATTTTACAGATGAGAAACTGAAGCAAACAGGGTTAAGTGACTTGCCTAGGGTCACACAGCTGGTATGTGTCTGAGATCAGATTTGAACTTAGGAAGATGATACCACCTAGCTGCCCCTAAGGTGCTTATAGGCATGCTATTTGAGTTGTTTCTACAAAACAAATAAACAAACAAACAAAAAACCAGTGTCCTAATTCTAGAAGTTGTCAAGGCTCAAAATCATCTAGTGTCATCTTTGGTGCTTCCCTTTTCCTCATCCCCATTTCTTGCTTCCTTCACAATTTATATTAAACTTTTAATTCCTTTTATTCAATTTATGTTGACATTACCTACTTTAGATCTATTTTGCCAAATAATTATTATTCTTTTAAGTGGTTTCCTTGACTCCAGCTTCCTTCCAGTCCATCTTGTATACCACTCCCAGATTAATTTTCCTAAGACCGTACTTTCATAAATATGAACAGAAATCTTATTTCTAACTAAAAATGGCTTTTACATTTTAAAATAAAATAAGGCTGTGACAAACTGGAACATTTTTTTGGTACATGCCAAATGATAGACTTAACTTTGTGTTTATCATTCAAGGAACAACCGAGTTAAGGTCAGAGACTGTCATCTTCAGGTTGAATGATGAGTGATTAATTGTTTTTGCTATAATAACTCTTAAAAACTGTCTGGGAAGTCATAGGAGGGGCTGGGATTTCCATTTGTAGAGGGAGGGATGAGGCTGCCTCAATGAAATCCCTGAAGAACTGGAATGAGTCCAGTTGGATAATGGTGATGATGATGATGATGATATAAAATGATATTTGTTGTCATAAACTAGCATTTAAATAGCGCTTTAAAAGATTTTCAAAACACTTCACAAATAATACCTCATTTGAGCTTCACAACACCTATGAGGTAGATAGTGTTATTATCCCCATTTTATAGGTCAGAAAACTCAGGCAGTTAAGTGATTTGCCCAGGGTCACACAATTAGAAAGTACCTGAGTCTATATTTGAATTCAGGTCTTCCTGACTCCATACTCAGTTGCTATCCACCTGGCCGCCAACAGAAGAAGCTCATGTATAGAAATGTCCAAAATTATAGCTGTTTCCATGTCTGAATATCAAGTAGCCCTAGTGAATTTCATTGTCCCATTCATTCTACCCTATCACTTGTCTTGTCATAGGGTCATATGTTTAGGGCTTAGAAGCCCTCTGGTCCAACATCTCTCATTTTACAAATGAGGAAACTAAGTCCTCAAAAGATTGTGGCTTGGCCAAGGTCACACAGTGGCAGAGGAAGGATTTGCACTCAGGTCCTCTTGCCTCAAAGCAAGTGCACTTTCTTCTACTTCATAATGATTCTCCAGAAAGAGGTCATCACATGATATGAATAACTTTATTCTGTGACTATATCAATGAATGAATTAGGAAACATTTATTAAGTGTCTATTTACTATGTGTTAAGGGCTATAAAGGGGTCCTTTGAACTTGTCTTTTTTAGGTGCCTACTATGTTTCAGGCTCACTGTGTTAAGTGCTGGGTATACAAAAAGAAACAAAAGACAGTTCCTACCGTCAAGGAGCTCACAATCTAATGGGGAGGGGGGACAACATATAAACAAATATATACAAAGCAAGCTGTACATATGATAAATAGGAAATAATTAACAGAGGGAAGGCATTGTAATTAAGAGGCGTTGGGGAAGGTTTCCTATAGCAGATGAAATTTTTATTGGAACTTAAAGGAAGCCCAGGAGAGTATAGTGAGAAAACTAGACCCAAAAAATCTTTTTTTCAGCCTGAGGAAAAGGTGTCTCTTGACAGCTATAAACGTTTTATTTTTTTTGTTCTATGAAGTCCTAAGGATGGGAGTAGGCCTGATCATTGTTTTTGTAAATCTAGGCTGTTCTTTGTTCAGCAGGGCGCTTGCAGAGGGTATATAGGTACATTTACCTAAAATATTTGTGGTGAAGTCACTTGCCAATGAGATTAAATGGATGAATGCCTTAGAACACTGATATCCATTTTTAGGGTTATTGTTTATGGTTATTCATGTTACTATGGTTTTATATGTTTGAAGTGTATTTTAAAAATAATTTTAAAGTCATTTTTAACTATGTGTGCATTGGAATAAGGAGCATTCAGTTACTGAAGCTTCACAGATATGCTATATTTCATTTATGGGTGACTGGCAGCTGGTATACAGGGAAGCTTGGAAAAGGACAGCTTTAAGAGATGATGTCCTACATAAAGAGCATTTTCTCTGGCTGTCCCCACACCTGAAATGCTGTGTCTCTCCATCTCTATCTCCTGGCTTCCCTATCTTCCTTCAGTTCCCAGTTAAATCTCACCTTCTACAGGAAGCCTTTCCCCATCCCCCCTTAACTCCAGTGCCTTCCCTCTGGTGATTATTTCCAATGTATAAGCTTGTTTGTATATAGTTGTTTGCATGTTGTCTCCCCCATTAGAATGGGAGCTGCTTGTGGGCAGGGACCCTCTTTTGCCTTTCTTTGTATCTCCTGTACTTAGCACAATATTTGGCACACAGTAGGCACTTACTTGAATGGCTAATCAGCATGCTATTGAGACCTTCTGTATACCCATATCAGCCTAGAAAATGCCTCCTTTCTTTCCCTTCTGCCTCCTGCTTGCCCTATACACCACTCTGTCTCTGTTTCTTTCAGTCCCTTTCTTTTTCTGTCTCTCTCATGTGCAAACCATAAGAAACATAGGGATGTGAGGAGGAGCAAAGGGTCGAATTAGTCTTGTTTGTTTTCCGTCAGATGACAAGTAATAGGTTTCAGCTGCAGAAAAGAAGATACTTCTTAAGTAGTTCTCCTTTAACAGCAATGATGAGGAGAGGGTCAGCGACCAAGAGTAGCCACTGATAAAGTGATTTGAGTAGAGTTAAGATGCTCTCTCAGTAGGGGATGGTTCAGGGAAATGAAATCACCCCTGTGGTAATGCAGAAAAGGGACTATAAGTGACCGTCCTACCTCAAGATCCTTTCCACCCCAGAAGATCCTGGGATATTAATATCTGTCAGCTGCGGGCCCAGAGCCTCCCCCTGCTGAGATCAAAAGAGAGCCCCTATCTTAGCTGGAACAAGGTCATCTGCACACTGCTGTAAACGAGAGCAAAGCCCTGTCCCTGCTGGCTTGGAGGGGAGTCGTTGGGGGGTGGAGAAGTCAGGAGATGGGGAGGCATTCTCTCAGGCTTCTTTCATCTCAGCTGACCAGCTGCTGCCTGTCCAGCGTTTGTAAAGTTGAGAGTTGTCTTTGTTTTTGTGCTTTCGCAATTAAACTTGTTTTGTATGCTTTTGCTTATATTTGGTAATTTCTCATTCATTGGATGAGTTTACAGTCATATCGGTTCAGATTGTTGGCTCAGTTCCGATTGTTCTCCTCCATGTGTTTTCATTCCTCTGTGGAATTGTAGGGT